CGAAGAATGTGAGTGATAATAGTAATGTAACGTTTATTAGTGAATACAGACGGTCGATAGACGTAAGCGAGAGAGAGAGTATAGGATAAAGTTATAACAAGGGGGAGTACGAAATGGAGTATAGAAAGGTAGGCGAGGACGAGACTTAGCGTAGTCAGGAAACGGCGGCGTGCGAGCGTAGTCTCCTCCAATCAGCGTCCTGGGAATTAGAGAAAAAGGCAGGTGACATTAAGGGGTTCTAGTAAAACAAGGGAGGTTCGGTTTGGGCCGTTACACCTCCACCGGAATTTGCTTATCCTTCGAACTGACCGCGGCGCTCTCTACTTTATTCGAATAAACAATCGAAAATCCCAAACGACAAATTAAACCCTATCGAAAATATTATTACTATGACACACTAATATATATGTGTTTATTATGCCAGTTTACATGCAATTTTAAAGAGTTGATAAACCACCTCTTGGATTTCTTGCAAAACCTCGCAGACAGGAAAAAACTTAAACAAAAAAGATAATAAAGTGACTTTTACAGCCAGTATCGGTTTCATTTCAATTTTGTATTTTGCCACTACTGGGCTAGATAGGGAATTTGTTTCAAGTGAAAAATACCTGACGTCAAAGGTACGATACAAACGGAATATATGTACAGTTATAAAGTGAGTTGACACATTAGCAGGAGAAAAGCTGCAGATCGATTATGGAAATAATTTCGGGACGGGGGGGTTGGCACAAGAACACAATGTTCTTAGTCTTCCTTGAATGTTTCTCGGCAAAATTTGCTCGCTGTCACTTTGGCACTACAGATATTTCACTTCATATTTTGCTATTATCTTGCCATTGAAAACCCCTTTTTAATTAAAACCAGCTCTTTATTTCGCAAGCTATTGAAAATCAAAACAAAGATTAATTGACAGCTGAATGGAAGGTTTTATCGCCTATGAGTTTGACGGCGTCAGTAGACGTTATATCAATTAACCTTATATAAATATGCCTTGCATAGGAAAAATCTTTCTATAGACTTTAGTGTATCGCCTAAATTATCGGTGTTGAAAATGAAAGTTCGTCAGAATCTTACCTCAGAAGGCATGAGGTCAATATTGACGGCTTCCTTCTCGAACAGTCAACCTCCGAACTTTGAAAGGGTCTTCAGGGTATTCAATACCCCTTTACTAATTAACAATCAAATTCATACATAGTAAGATCCTCACAATTCCTCGTTTGCAGTTTGTCGTTCACTACTGCTGTTAACTTTTCTCCAAATTCCACATGTAAATTGTTTCCGTGATGTTTAACTGTCAACTCCTCGACCCACAGCGTTATGTGTATGTATATCTAAAGGTTTTCAGGCAGACGATGTTTTCCTGTTGACGTCAACGTGGCCTTTTTATTTCGCACTCTAAAGGAACTGTATGTTCTGCCTCTACGTGCCTTACTTTGTTCCTCGTCACCGCATCCTCCCTGTCCATCAGCTTTGTCAGCAGCTTACTTATATCTCTTCCGGACAATATGTCAAGTCAAGTAGGTCAAGCCTCTGCAGGTCAGCGCGTCTGTAAACGCTGACTGGGGTATTGGATGACGTTGATGCAGCTGGCCTTGAACAATGACGCTTGACGAAACAATGGAGGGCGTCGGCCGGCAACGACCACTACAAATACACTGATTCTCTGTCCGCGCATAGATTTTAAGTAACCTGCCGTTTGGGCGTGTCGTTATTGTCATCTAAAGGTTTGAGAACGTTGGTAGGCAAACTGCTCTTACCTCTCGCCTCATCTGCATGCACTTGGGCATTGAGAGTGCCCTTGAATTCTCGTAAGGCCTGGGTTCGGCCAAACCTCCAGAAAAGGGAGTTTCTGTGATCGGGGTTTAAGCAAGAAAAACTGTACCTAAACAGTTGGGCAGAGATAGGTTTGCTGTGACGCTAGAAGATAGCATAGCTGGAAACTCTGACTACCTGAGCTATACAGTCTTCTATACAAGGTTTGCCATGTACCCGACTGCTTTTCGCAGACTACGAGAATACCTTGCGTTTTCTGCCACTCAACCAACACTGAGCTTCCCGCACTGCCACTTGGGACGGTTCCTTCCGCGTTGTCACCACAGTCTGCTGACTGCAGCGCGTTAATTGGGATTCCACATACAATGTTTCCCATCAGTGACGCCGATAGGCACAGATTAATGTAGAAGTTTTAAAGCCTGGGCCAGCGATATTCTTGGGCATGTATCCACCTAAACCTGCGGTCCACAATTCTCTATTTCGGGCCTTCGCGTTAACCACATCCTACCAGTAGTTATAATTCAGTGTAGTTCACAGTTGCCGAGATAATTCACTGACAATTTTTTAATCGAAAGCAAGAAACTGTGAATGACCTAAAGGATCGACCCCCATTAGTCAGTCAGTCAGCCAGTACATTTGCGGAAAAAATAGGCTTGCGCCTTTGAACTCCCTTTTTGTTACAGCAAAATAACAAGTATTCAGTCAGGAAAATAAAGACCGTCAAATAGTGCAGTGGGGTTTCAAGGTCAATTTGTCACATAGTTCACGGTGTGCTGTGGCATATGTATATCAAGTCGGTGTTTAAATGTTTCCACAAATTGAGACATTACAATTGCCTCGTCTCGTCAAGTGACCAAATAGTGCTGTACTTCGAGTATTCGCTGTATTCCGAAGCTTAATTGCCTAATACATAATAATAATAATAATAATAATAATAATAATAATAATAA